ACCACATCCCTAAGTTCCACTACTGACTACACACCCAAGAGAAGTGGAAGCAGGGTTGACGAGATGGCTCAGCCAGTAAAAGGAGATTGCTACTGGGTCCAACCACCTGAATTCAGTCCTCCAGACTCACACAGTGGAAGGTGAGCGCCAGCTCCCAGAGGTTGTCCTCTGATCTCCACTGGCACATTTCCACACATTTGAAAAAATTATTTTAAGACAGAAACTCACTATGTAGCCCTGGATAGCTTGGAACTTGCTGTGTAGACCAGGCTGACCTCTTACTCACAGAGATCTACCTGCCTCTGCCTTCTGAGTACTGGGATTAGAGGTGTGCACCATCATACCCAGTAGTAAATGTAATTTTTGACTGGAAGAGATACTCATTCATCAGTGTTCATAGCAGAAAAAGGTAAAAAGCATCCCAAATGTTCATCAATAGATGAACAGACAAACAACATGAAATCAATACTATTAATATTGAACAGTGATTACCTTCTGACAAATGCTGTAACACTGAGGACATTATTCTAAGAACAGATCGTTTAGAGTCTCTTATATTAGGTACTTGGAGTCACGGGATTCATAGACTCACAGCAAGGAAGGTAGTCTCGAGGAGCTGGGTAAAGGAAATGGGGAGTTGGTGGTTATAGCGTTTGAGCTGTGGAAGACGGGAAGAGTTCTGGGGGCTGCGCATGGTGAGGATCACACAAGAACAGGAAGGCATTTAATGCCACTGAAGTGAACATCACAAAAATCATAAAACCAGGGGCTGGAGAGATGGTTCAGAGGTTAAAATCACTGACTACTCTTCCGGTAGACCCAGGTTCAATTCCCAGCACCCACAAGGCAACTTACAAGTGTCTGTAACTCTTCTGGCCTCCAAGGGCATCAGGCACACAGATAGTACACATAGAAGCAGACGCACACGGGAGCTCGCTCTCTCTCTCTCTTTCTCTCTCTCTCTCAAATAAATAAATCTTTAAAAAAAAGAAGCAGAATAAATTGTAAGCCAGACCTAGTGTCCCAGCCACTCAGGAGGCTAAGACAGAAGGATTCACAATCTGTCTGGGCTACAAAATGAGTTCAAATTAGTGGAACCCTGTCTCAAAATAAAAAGTTAAAGACAGGACTTGAGAGCTGGAATAAAGTGCTTGCCTAGCATGCACAGAGTCAATGACCACCAATAAATAAACCAGACGTGAGGATTCATGCTATAACCCCAGCATTCAGAAGGTAGAGGCAAGAGGATCAGGAGTTCAAGGCCAGCCTTGCCAATAACCTCAGGTCACCATCAGCTACAAAATGAGATCAAGGCCAGTCTGAATTCCAAGAGACCTTTTCAAATAGATAAATAATATATAAACAGGAAGAAGAAGAAAGAAAAAGGAAAAAAGAAGAGAGGCAGGGTATGTAACTCAATGATAGAATGCTTGCCTGGCAACTGCAAGGCCCTGGGTTCAGTCACTCATAGTGAAAACAATCAGGTTAAAATGGTTTTGTTGTTTTTAAAACGTTTACCAAGGTCACAGTGTGAGTATGACTCAGGAACTTAAATATAAAATGAACTGGGTGTGGCAGCGCATGCCCGCCTGTAATCCTAGTACTCAGGAGGTGGAGGCAGGAGGATCACAAGCTCCAAGCCAACCTGAGCTGCACAGGAAGACCCCGCCCCTGTTTAAAAATAAATAAACAGAAAGAAAAAGCAAACAAACTTTAGCGCGCCCAGGGTTACAACAACTGAAACCGGACTGGAGCCCAGGCAGCCTCAGGTCTGTCCCTTGCCCTTGAAGCAGGACAGTCAGGGCTGCAGCAGCACCGCTGCGGCTGCGTGGGCTGCATTTGGAGCTTCCACGCCCCAACATCTCACCCTCGAAATGTCTATTAGCCTTGAAGCCACAGACTGACCAGGCAGAGAATCACAAGGCTCTCAAGGTCTAGAAGTGGCTCCATGGACTGACTTGCTACTCTTTTGCCAAAATAACTGACCACAGCTGACCAAACGCAAGCTCTCTTCTATGCAAGCTGGTTTTCAGATCTCAGAGAAATGCCAAAATCTCTTTGTGATCTGGAAGCAAATGGCAGGGCAGGTAAGGCTGATTTCTGGAATCCAAAAGAAGCCGTGTTTACACAAATATCCAGCTTCCAAGTCCAAAAGAGAGAGGACACATAAGCTATTCTCTTCCTTTGTTTGAGGCTATGAGAGAGAGACAGAGACAGAGAGAGACAGATAGAGAGGGAGGGAGGGAGGGAGGGAGGGAGGGAGGGAGGGAGGGGGGGGGGGGGGGGGGGGAGGGAGGGAGGGAGGATGTGTCTGGGACAGTGTGTGTGAGAGTATGTGTGTTTGCTACAGTGTGTGAGTGTGTGTGTGAGTGTGTGTGTTTGCTACAGTGTGTGAGTGTGTGTGTGAGTGTGAGTGTGTGTGTATTTGAGACAGTCCTGGTATGTATATACCCAAGGCTTGCCTTTGAACTTGTTTGTAACCCAGATAGGCCTTGAATTCATAGCAATCCTTTTGCCTAATGAACATCGCTACTTTCCTTATTTGGTTGTTGTTTATTTGAGTTTTGTTTTTGAGATAGGCTCTTGATAGATAGCCCAGGCTGACACATAGGTACTTGCTATATAAACCAGGATAACCTAGAACCTGCAGCAATCCTCCTGTCTCTGCCTTCCCAGTCCTGGAAGTTTAATGATAACCCCACGCCCAGCGCAAATCAGTTTCTAAGGAAGCATCCATGATCAAGTGAGAGAGACATCCCTATGAAGGTAAGCGCAACCCTCTTCCTGTAGCTTCAGTCAAAGCACATGGGGCTGATGAGATGGACCAGAGGGTAAAGGCAATAACTTCCAACTTGGCTTAGGACCTGACTTTGATCCCTGAATCCCACGTGGTGGGAGGAGAGAACTGACTCACACTTGTCCAGGATTTGGGTCGTTTGAGGACAGGGATCTAATACTAAACCCCTTTAAATCCCAGGATACTTAATCAATGATGAAATAAACTGAAGAAGAAACAAACACCTTCTTAGGAAGGCAGATACCACAAGAAATCAAACTCGCTCCCAAGAGCAAGAGGGTAGCATGAGCTCCAGGAAGCCAGCCAGAGGCTCTTGCCATCTTTTGCTCATTTTGTTTACCAGGCATTCTTTGCAGACCCTCCCCCCACCCAGCATATAGTCCAGCAGTGTGGGAATTGATGCAAATTTGCCCAGGAACCTTGGGAAACACAGAGTCTTGGAGACTCAGGTGGGCCAGGATGGGGGGAAAGAATCATCAAAAACTCAGAGCATAGGTTGTTGGGAAAACATGAATTCCTAACTACTAGAGAGGCTAAGGCAGGAGGACTAAAAGTTCCAGGATAACCAGGACAACTTAATGAGATCCTATCTCAAAAGAAAAAAATAACAAGAGGGCTGGGGGCTGTGGACCAGCAGCAGAAGGCTTATCTCATGTACACAAGATCCTACATTCAATCCCCAGTACTGATAAAAATAAAAGGCAAACCAACTAACAAAAAGGCAAGGTATTGGAAGAATGTCATGAAGCCCAGATGTGTGGCCCAGCCTCATGGCTTGGGTACCTGTGAGCACTCCAGCATGACTGGAATGTAAGACTCCCTGTGGGAATAAGGGGGCACTGAGACAGAAACTGGATCACAAGCCACCCTGAGTGTTAAGGACATGAACTTTACCCTGAAAGTCATGAGGAGCCATTGGAGAACCTCAAGAAAGAACAACTTGATATGATTGTGTATGTGTGTGTGTGTTTGTTTTAGATGGACACTCTTTGAGCTCACTCTGGCATGGAAGAAAAATACTTAAGACAGGAAGACAGGAGGTGTCTGCAGGCAGCAGTGAAAACCTCAGCCATCAGAGATGTCAAGGATGTGGGCAACCTGTGGTGACCAGAAATTAGCACAGAAATCAGGAGGGTGGGGGCGACAGCAGGAGGAGATAGAGTACAATGCTGGGCACCCCAGAGGTACAAGCTTGGAGCTTGGGGGAGTAGGCTGGCTTGGGATTCAGTGGGGCCCCCAATGTTATCCGGAGTCCAGAGTGGGGGGGAGAGTGATGGAACCTCAAGATTAATCCATAAATCCATGGGGGAAGTCTGCCATTTGTGAGCTTATAGGAAAAGAGGGTTGTCGTGGAACATGTCCTCTGTACATGATGTGACCAGCACTCATATGTAGACCAGCTGGCCTTGCACACACTGAGATCTACCTGCCTCTGCCTCTAAGTGCTGGGATTAAAGGTTCATACCATTTTCCTTGGCCCTGTTGTGGTCTTGAAAACAAAGTAGCTGTGATTATTCACAGGAAACACTCACAAGAGAGGGCCATCCGTAGTGCTCCCTTGAAGCAGGAGGGCTGAGACCTGCTCTCTGCCATGCAGCCCCAGCTGCACGCAGTCTTGAGAGGTGTCAGAATATGTAAGAGGTGGAAGGGTGACGGAAGAGACTCCAAGGGGCATAGTGATCCACACCTCTAAACCCAGCACTTGGGAGGATCTCAAGTTGAAGACCAGCCTGAGTTACATTATGAGTTTAGGGACAGTTTGGACTACGGAGTAATACCTTCTATCATAAATAGTAAAAACCAAAACATGGGGACTGGAGAGATGGATCAATTAAAAGAATTTGCTGTTCTTGCTGAGGACCTGGGCTCAGTTCCCAGCACTCACGTTGGGCCACTTACAACCAGCTCTAACTCTTGCTCCAGGAGATCCAACACCTCTGTCCACCAGTACCTGTACTCAAATACCCATACCCACACAGACACATAACATAATTAAAAACAAGAAAAATATTTTTAAAGGATGAAGGAGAGAAGGTTTTGAATTTCTGCACTCCGGCATCCCGAGCCGGCTCCTTCCCAGCCGGGCATCCACAGCCCCAGAAGTCAGGGCATCTGCTGGTGCTTTCCTGAGCCTTCTCATGCAGACACCATGCCACTCTAACATGAAGGCTGTCATTGTCCCCGTCCCCACCACTTCTCTCACCTGTATCTGGGGTGGGGACTGAAGCTGCCCCAGCTTTATTGATGGCTTCCTTGGGTTGATTCCCGTCATTGCAGTCCAGGGCTGAAGGCTGTGCTGTGCCCTGATGATAAGGATAAAGATGATTATAGAGTCACTCAGCACCATCCCGTGGGTTAACATTTCTCAGATATATACAGCAGGGATGTACGGAACATCAGAGAAAACACCTTTCCCAAACTACTCCCCACACCTCCCCGGCCAGCCGTACCCTTGCCTGAAGCTCTGGCTACCGAGAAGACAGCAGAAGACCCTACGCTCACAGTCACAGAAATTTCATACAAAGGGGACACTGTCTCCGGTCCGTCAATCACCAGATCTAGTCCCTCTCCTCAAGGGCTTCACAGGGGCAGAAGGAGAGAAACAAGACACAGTTCAACACTGTGAACCATGTGTAAGAAGGAGTTTGTGTTGGACCAGCAAGCTGGTCATTCTCTCTGTCCAGCTCTAAGCTCGATGTCATGGAACATACAATCAGTGGGCTGGACTCCACAAGGCTGTTCTCCTGAAGACTTGGGAGGTAGATCTCCAATCCAGGGGTCGTCTCTATCCTATCACAAAGGAAAGCCCACATTGCTTTGGGATTTCCTAGCTATAGCCAGAGTCCATCTGACCGCAACATGGAAGTCAACTCACATGGAGAACTTAGCTGCCAGCCGTGGCTTCAATAGGCTACTCTTTCCCTGCCGTTCTAGAAAAATATTTTAGAGATTCATTTATTTATTTGTGTCTGGTCTATGTAAGTATATGCACACAGGTAGAGATGCAAGCTTGTGCACACTCAGGAAGGACCGCAGGGCTGCTGGGCATCCTTTTCTATCATTCTCTGCCTTCTACTTTTGAGGCAAGATCTCTTCCTGAACGTGGGCTGTTCATTTTCTCAGCTGTGCTGGTAGTCACACGAAGTGTGGCTTGGATTATTCTGTTGCCATTCGGTTGTTTTTGTTTTTAACTAACTAGAAAAACATCAGTGCTGGGGTTACAGGCATTTGCAGGGACACCTGGCTCCTTATATGTGTGCTGAGATCAGAACACTAGTATTGGAGAGCAAATACTCGTAACCCCCGAGGCATCTCCCCAATCCTTCATCCTATGAAATTTCTCTTACACTGGTCATCTGAGCACACAGGAGGTAGAGGCACAAGGATCAGGACTTCAAGGTCATCTTTGGCTACACAGCCAGTTTGAGGCAGCCTGGGCTATATAAAACCATGTCTCTTAACTGCTGAGCCATCATCTCTCCAGCGCATAAAACCATGTCTCAAAATAACACAGAGGTTGGAGACACCTCAGTGGTTAAGATCACTTGTTTTTTCTGAGGCTCTGGGTTCCGTTCACAGCACTCATATAAAGCATCACACTGCCTATAAGTTCAGTTTTAGGGGATCCAAGCCCTCATCTGGCCTCCTTGGGCACCAGTCACGCATATTGTGCACATACATACATTCAGGCAAAACACTTGAATGCATAAAAGTAAATAAATAAATCCTTTGCTCACCTTCCTAGACCTGGATGAAGGGGGGAGGACTTGGACTTCCCACAGGGCAGAGAACTCTGAGTGCGCGGGGGGGTGGAGAGGGAGGGGGAGGGGAACTGGGGGGAATGGGAGGGAAATGGGAGGAGGGGAAGAGGTGGAAATTTTTAATAAATTAAAAAAAAGAACACAAAAAATAAATAAATCCTTACATCTTTTTAAACGCAAAACTTTATTTTTAAAAAAAAGGAAAAGAAAAATTAAATTATTCTCTCTCAAAAGAAAACTAACGTAGAGGTTGATGAATGGGATGAGCTGAGGCCCTGCACTCCAAGTGTCTGTCTCACCTGACTTGCAAGTCCTCCCCACAGATGGGCTCTCTGCCCTGTCCCAGTTTGTGAAGCCACTTAAACTTTTCCTAACCATAAACAATTAGCGCATTCTTCACGACACTTTCCCTATCGCCTAGAACAACAGGCTGCATCCCAGAGCCTCACACGGGGCCTGGGCACTGTGGAAATACTTGTGACTTGGAGGAATGACAAATGAATGAATGGATGGATGGATGGATGGATGAATTATTAAAATGCTCTTTCCACTAAATGTTTCCATCTCTCTTTAAGACTTATGGCGTCCGAGCTGGAAAGGTGGCTTAATGGGCTGGAGAAGATGAGGAGAACCTGCCACTCTTGCAGGGGACCAGAGTGTGGTCCCTAGCACACACATCTGGCAGCTCATAATCATTTGTATCTCCAGTTCCGGGGATTTGACACCCTCTTCTGGGTTCCATGGGCCCTGTATTCATGTAGTGCACATGCACACATGCAGGCACTTATACATACACAGAAAACAAAAATAAACAAATCTTGTTTTAAATGGCATGAAACATCCAAGGCTCTTAAAAAGCCGCGCATAGGTTAGTCCCATCACACTGATTCTTTATTCCACGTTTCCAAAATTCCTGAAAGATTAGTCAGATATGAAATATTTCCCAAAAAAAACACAATCACGGCTTTCCCAGAAAAAGTTTGGTTGGATAAGTGTTTGATAACTGTTTCTTTTCTTTCCATTTGTTCAGTTCTCAGTTACAAAATGCATCTCCGAAGAAGTCCAAATAACCACAGAAGAAAGGAATGCTTTTCCCTTTCAGCAGCAACAATGAAATAATACGGCAAACACATTAGCACGGACCATGTGCCAAGCGAGGCCAAATCGTTTTCATTCACATGTTAACCCCTTCCAGCTCTGGAGACTTGCTATGTAATCATGAGGCAGCTCACAACCACCCGAAATTCCAGGCCAAGGGTCCTACTCCTCTTCTGACTTCCCCAGGCCCTTGCATGCATAGGTGCGCAGACATATACTCAGGCACACACACATAAAATAATAATTTTTAAATTGTTTTTATTGAGCTATATATTTTCTCTGCTATCTTCCCTTTCTCCTCTCTCCCCTTCCGTCCTCTCCCATGATCCCCACACTCCCAATTTATGCACAAGACCTTGTGTTTTTCTACTTCCCATGTGGATTAGATAAGTAAAGAATTTGTTAAATATGTGAAGAGGTAGAGAGGATGCTCAGTGGTTAGAACTCTTGCTGTGCAAGAGTGAGGACCTGAGTTCAGATCCCTAGAAACCCACATAAGTGGCAGATAGGCATGGCGGCCTGTCTGTGATCCCAGTCTCAGAAGGCAGCAATGGGGAAACTTCGAACAAGCTGGCTAACAAGACTAACCATGGACATCAAGCTCTGGGCTTGCTTGAGAGACCCTGGCTTAATAAGGTTGAAGGTCAGGCCTGCACACACCACACATGCATACCCATATACATGTGTTTGCACACATACAAAGACATGCATTCGTGCACGTTCACATCACGCACACATACACACACAATTGGTAAAGGGGGGGAGGGGTATTGCATGGAGTTTCCAGCCAGTCAGCGGTGTGGTAGTGCATGCTTGTAATCTCAGCACTCAGGAGGCGGGGGCAGGCAGATCAGGAATTTAAAACAAACTTCATCTACATAAGTTCTTGTCTCGAAAAGAAAAATAACGTGGAGTTTATGGTACAACCTTGAGGAAGGCGAGCTGTTTAGAAGAGCTACCTGGGGAGATAAAGCAGGCCTGAAGACAAGATAAAGCAGAAGTGGGCTCTGGCCATCTCGTGGTGGCCACAGAGAGAGGAAGAGATGGTAGGGGCTTCAGGCTTTAGTGCGAATGTGTAGCATCAGTCTGGCCTCCCACGAAACAGTCTCCAAGTCTGCTCCAAGCAGCTGTGCAAGCTAAGGAATCTTCAGCCTCACTACTCTTTTGCCATTCCCCAACCTTCGGGAGGGACTGAGAATGGGTGGCCAAGCTCTGGTCTGTTAGAAATGTCTTATGAGAAGGCCCTACCTGCAAGAGAACACCTAGAATGAGGATGACCAAGGGGGAAGAGAGGACAGAGAGTTAGACGTGAGAGGAAAGGAAGTGGAACAAGCCACAAACAGAGAGAAGAGAAGGAGTTCATGCAGTGGCCAACTGTTTGGCCAAGCATCTGCCCTCATAAGCCATCAGGTCCCAGACCAAGGCCCATCCAATCCTCACAGTGCTGAAAATCTACGTAGCAAAGCCTGCTGGTACCCAGGCCCTTGCTTCTGGCCATCCTGTTCCCCGCTAGGCCATCTAGCTTCAAACTTTACTTCCTATCTTAACAAACAGAACAGGGACAGGAGTAGGCAAAATGGACTGTGCTGGGGCCCGATATTAAAAAGTGGAACTGAGCTTACCCAACAGATTAAACATGGTTTAATTGAACCCATATTACTTAAAGGGAGAAGATTAATGGAATCATGCATCCCAGACCAACTGCACCCAAGAGAGGGATGGCAAAGAGAAAGCCATGGAAACAAGACAGATGGCTCCATGATGGTGAAATTGCAGACACCCTTGACAATCTAGTAGAGGAGATATTTCTGGCTAGAGCAACCTGTCCTGAAGCTCTCAAATCACACACTTCACAGGCTTTGGTTGCCCCACCTAAGCCTGGCCTAGCCAGCTTCCTTGAGTGTGGGTTCACACGGGTACTGCAAGGCTGGCGTAATCTGATTGGCCTGGAGACCCGTGATTGCTAGGGAAGAGAGTTTCATGAATGCAACGAATCAGGTTTGAACCTGTTCCTCTCATTCCTACGTGCAGGTCCTTGTATAGACCCGTCTGATCAGCCAGTCTGATTGCTCCAGGGAGTTGCAAAATCCAGGTCGGTTTTAGATTGCTAAAGCTGGCTGACCACACTGGATAACAAATTAAAGAATTATCTTGGAGTCATTTGTTTCCCCTTTGAGATAAAAGAATCAATGGTGAGATTCCTGACTTCCCATTGCCCTAGTAAATAATCTTTTTATCTCAGTTTTAGCCAGCAGAAGCTTAATCTCTGTGGAAGGGGAACCCCACAGAAGAACTGGAAATGCTAGGCCGGCACAAATCCACAGACCAGTCATTTCTTAAAGACGAGGTTTCTTGTATACACACAGGTTGGTGTTGAACTGTCTATGCAGCTGAGGATGACTTGAATTACAGGTATGCACCTCCACTCTGTCCGGTTTATATAGTAAAGTGTTAGGAATTGAACCCAGGATATCGTGCATGGTAGGCAGTCGCTCTACCAACAGAACTACATCCCCAGGCCTCAAGATTGTTTTTAGAAGAACTTTGTACCAACCTGAGAAACATAAACATATGTTTGGGAGACCACAAATATTTTTCTACACTCATATGCCAGCATGTCATAGCCAAATGCCTCCTAGCAAAAAACGCAGGATTTTGTCTCATTCTGCAGTGGTCTACACTGGCAACCTGGCCACTGTCGTGTGTTTGGCAGGCTCCAAGAGAACTGGAGGGCAGGCAAGGGGAAGGAACAATCAGTTGTAATAAAGGCAAGGCCAGCCATCACTTCCTCGGAGAAACGCATTCTGGGAATCAGAAAACTCAGGAGGAAGAAAGAGTGAGAGGGCAGGAAGATGGGAGGGCAGGGAGAACAAATAAAGGTGTTTCATTTTAATGTCTTAATAGAACAAAACCTGAGGCTGGGGTGATGGCTTGGTGGGCAACAGCACTTGCTTCACGAGCATGAGGGGCTGCGCTGAAATGTGCAGCCCACGTGTAAAACCCTGCGTGTCCACGCTCACCTGTAACCCCAGCATGGTCAGGAGCAGAGACGGCATTGCTGGGGCTTCCCTGGCTGCCAGTCGAGCTCCAGGTTCAGGGAGAGACTGTCTCAAGGGCATATGGCAGAGAGTGACGGCGGGACACTAGATGTCCTCATCTGGCCTCCACATATGTCACACCTCACCAATGTATGTTGCATACATGACACACTCATATACTACATACATTTACACATACATGCATACACACAGTGGGGAAAATAAAATTTTAAAAAATATACACAAATTTTGAGTGCCACTCAGAATTTCATCTCACTGAAAGATGCACGCGCACACCTTTGATTCCAGCACTTGCGGGCCAGAGGAAGACAGATTTCTGTGAGTTCAACACCAACCTGGTGTACAAAGTGAGTTCCAGGACAGGCAGAGCTGTTACACAGAGAAACCCTATCTCAAAAAAAAAAGAAATATTCACGTGTATGTGTGTGTGCATTCGTATGTTGAAACAAGGTCTTACTATGTAGAACAACATGGCCTTGAATTCATGATTCTTCTACCTCTATCTCCCAAGCAGTGGATTTATAAGCCTTGGGCACTATACCCAGATATTTATTAGGGTGTGTGTGTGTGTGTGTGTGTGTGTGTGTGTGTGTGTGTGTGCTTGTTGTTGTTATTGTTTTGGTTCTTTTTGGGGTTTTCATTTGTGTTGTTCTTTCCTCTTTGGGGGTCTGCCAGCCAGCTCCCGAACAAACACATGAAAGCTTATTCTTATGTATGCCTAACCTTAGCTTTCCTTATTTCTAGTCAGCTTTTCTTACATTATTCTATCTTTGGGGCTTTTTACCTTTTTATATACTTTTTTCTGTTTTTTTCTCCATGGCTTGCTGTATACCTGGGTGACTGGCCCCTGATATCCTCCTCTCCTTTTTCTCTTCCTCTCTTTTTCTCCTTCTATTTATTCTCTCTGCCTGCCAGCCCTGCCTATCCCTCTCCCTCATAGCTATTGGCCATTTAGCTTTTTATTAGACCAATCGGGTGTTTTAGGCAGGCAAAGTGACACAGCTTCATAAATGCAACATAAAAGAATGTAACACATCTTTGCATCATTAGACAGATGTTCCACAGCATAAGCAAATGTAACACATCTTCAACTAATATTCCACAGCAGGGGTGAGAGATAGCTCAGTGGTTAGGAACAATTACTACTCTTTTACAAAATCTGAATTTGGTTTCTAGCACTCACATCAGGCAGCTCACAACTACCTGAAATTCCTGGTTCAGGAAATCCAATACCTCTTCTGGCCTACACAGGCATTCCAGTGCAAGTGAGCACATACACACACTCACATACACAATTTAATTTTTTGAAGGGATTGTTCTGTTTTAAATATGTATTTATTTTAATGTATATGAGTAGTTTACCTGCATATATGTCTGCATACCATGTGCATACCTGGTACCCTCAGAGGCCAAAAGAGGGGATCTGATCCCCTGGCCTTACAGATGGCTATGAGTCATGATGTGGGTTCTGGCAACTGAACCTGGATCCTCTCCATCTCTCCAGCCCCTGTCATGTTTGGAGACAGGGTCTTGCTTTGTTGCTCAAGCTTGTCTTAAACTCCTGGCATCAAATAATCCTCCTGCCTCAACCTTCCAAGTAGCTGGAGCTACAGATGCATACCACCATTATAGCTTGTTTTGTTGTTGCTGTTGTTGTTGTTTTTAGAGGGAGGTGACATTGAGCCGGGGTCTCACTACAAAGCTCTAGTTGTCCTGGAACTTTTGATGTATACAAAGCTGACCTTGAATTCACAGAGATCTGCCTTCCTCTCACTCAACAGTGCTAGGATTAAAGGCATGTGCCACGATCCCTGACTCTATTTTTTCTTTTAATAGTTGGTTAAAAAAAATGAAAATAATGGAAGAGCAACAGAAAAATCCAAACCACACTTCGCTAACTGAGCCACGAGCAGCATGTCAGAGGCCTGCCAGTACTTCGCTAACTGGGCCACTAGCAGCATGTCAGATGCCTGCCGTACTTTGGGACCCAGCTGATGACTGTCTTCCACCCGCCCTTCTCCCGTGGCAGACCTTCCCACCTTCTCAGACCTTAGGCCCTCGCTCCCTGTGTCTCCAAGCTTCTCCCTGACCTCCTTTCTACCCACTCGCCTCTCTGGAAGCTAGGCTAGTGCACATCTGAGGGGGGGCACCAAACAGACTGTAGACTGTGCATTCCTGACCACAGCTGAATTCACACTCCCGCAGCTCAAGGGAAGCAGCTGGCCTGCAAAAAGCTCAACGATAACTCTGAGAAGAAGAAAAGGAAAACAGCCATCCTGGTGTTTGTTTTTCAGCTTCTCTTTGTATGTATTTGTTCTCATTCTGGATCTAGGAAAATACCTCCAAGACTACGCCGCAAGGGACAGACGGGGAAACAGGTGTATACGCGGCTGAGGGGACATGTGTGCAGTAATAAGATAGGGACTTGGTGGCTGTTAGAGTTTCTGCCATGTGCTGGGTGCCACGAGCCATGTGCTTGGCACTATGCCAGAGATAAAATGGTAAACAAGAATGCAGCATCAGCTGGGCAGTGGTAGCACACGCCTTTAATCACAGCACTCTGGGGACAGAGGCAGGCAGATCTCTGAGTTTGAGGCCAGTCTGATCTACAGAGCAAGCTTCAGGACAGCCAGAGTTACACACAGAAACCCTGTCTTGAAAAAAACGAAAAGAAAAAAAGAAAAAGGAACGCAGCATCCCTCCAAGCTGGCAACCTGATGGGGGAGGCAGACTGCCAAACTCTGTCACTGATAACTGAATATAAGCAGCACTGAACAGGAAACCAGAGTGACAAGAGCACACAGAATAGTTGGGGAAGATAGAGGAGCCAGGGCAGGCTTCCAGAGGGAAAGGTCCCTGAAGCTGAAACCCCAAGGTTATGAGAGAAGAGAAGCTTGCACCAAAGCCGGGCGGCTCGAGAGTGCAGGTTAAGAATGCTGGAACAAGCCGGGCGGTGGTGGCGTACGCCTTTAATCCCAGCACTTGGGAGGCAGAGGCAGGTGGATCTCTGTGGGTTCGAGGCCAGCCTGGTCTACAAGAGCTAGTTCCAGGACGGGCTCCAAAGCTACAGAGAAACCCTGTCTCGAAAAACCAAAAAAAAAAAAAAGAATGCTGGAACAAGCTGAGAGTGACTGGCAAGGCTATTCTGAAGGTTGCCAAAACTGACAACTATCACAATAAAAAGTAGGGGGAATCTGGGGGCCAAGGGTTCCCTGGGTCCTGACTAGGTATGGGCAAGCTGAGGCGCCTCTATAAGGCTTGCTTCTCTGCATAAGTCAACAGACAAGCTGCCCCACTACAGCATTCTCATCTGCTCTTTTGTTTTTGTTTTTCGAGACAGGGTCTCACTATATAACCCTGCCTGTCCTGGAACTTGCTGTGTAGATCAGGCTGGCCCCAAACTTCCAGAGCGCCACCTCCCTCTGCCTCCAGAGTACTAGGATTAAAGTGTGTGCTACCATACCCCACTAAGTTTTTTTTTAATTGGTATGTATGTGTCTGTGTGAGTATATGCCACATGAGTTCAGGTACTCAAGGAGGCCAGAAAAGGGGGTCAGATCCCCTGGACCCTGAGTTGCAGATGGATGTTAGCCACTGAATGTTGGTGCTGGACCAATCTTGGGTCCTCAAGAACAGCAGGAGTCACTCTTGGCCAACGAGCCATCTCTCCAGCCACCCTATCCCCCTCCCCCCCCCCCATGCAACTTTTAAATCTTCCTAGTGAGTATTAAGCAAGTGCTCGAAAATCCACCCCAGCCTACAAGTTCAACCCACTGTCAGGGCACAGCGAATAGGAGACAAGCCGCAACTCCCGTGTTTTTTCCTGTGCTCGCTCCTGAGACCAGCAAAGCCTATCAAAGGTTCTCCGTGGTTATATAACAAGAACACAGCAAGTGACACACAGGATCCAACCACTTCCCCTCTGGAAACAACGACAGGGAGGGTTAGCAGGACAGGCAGTACAGGCTTTGTACCTGGGCGGTTGGCAGGGTCTGGAGCAGCCATCCAGGGCAGGCGTCTGGCCCATCCAAAGTGCTTACTTCCTTCTGATAACCAGCGATCTGTTATTTCCCACTTGCCAGGGCAGTAATTACTTCAAACAAAGAGCAGTAACCAAAAACAGTACTTAAAAGGAGTGGGGTTTTTTTTTCCTCCAGAAGAGATCCGCAGCTCAGTTAGAACAAAAATAGATAAATAAAAACCTTAGTTCAAAGCTTTAATTTGTCTGTTAGATATGATTCGAAAGGCAAAATAATTTGAGGGGAAAACATGGTATGCAAACAGATAAAAAGCAAACGCCTCCCCCACCGCCAGGCCCCACCCCTGCTGCAAATGTGCCTGAAGTTTAGTCAACCTGAGCTACCTTCCTCCTACAGTTGAAATCCCTAGAATTTATTTTCGAGGAATTTCGACAATTCAAATCGACTGCCTCCGCTCTCTCACCTGACTTCCCTATCTGCCTGAAGGGCCCACTTGAAATTCAAGTGGCAAGCCAAACTCGCAGGCTTACAAATAGAAAATGTCCCGTCATTCTTCTCCCCCTGGCTTTTCACATTCCAGCCCCCCCCCCCACACAGTCTGGCTGTGTGAGCTAGGGGACAGAGCACCAGCTGCCTGGCAGCTATGTACCCCAGAAGAGACCACACACCCAGGAAAAGCACAGAGCCGGCCACACTGCACTGGCTGAACAAGCTCAATGCTTTCCATTTGGGGTCTAAGGTCTCCTTGGTAGGGAGGGGACCAAACGCACATACTGCAATCCAGTGTGACTTCAGCTGGGCAATGAGAGCTGTCAGACTCTAGGAGATGGGTCTTAAACCGTCACCAAGGGCAGCCCACCCCTTCTTGAATAGCCCAGGATATTACTGGGAGGATGACCTTGAATTTCAGATTCTCCTGCCTCCATTTCCTGAGTGCTGGCTGGGACTTCAGATGTGTGCCTCCACCCCAGGCTTGTGATACGGTGAGCCCAGGACTTCATGCATGCTACATCCCCAGGCCACACACGAGTCCTATTTTTACTATTATTTGTCTGTATTTGTACGTGTGTACATGTTTATTCATGAGTGCATGTGCATGTGGGTACAAGTCTATGCTCACGCACGTGAAGGCCAGCGGTCAAAGTCTTTTCTAACTATCTTTAGGTCTTCAGTCTTTTCTATCTTTCTCTAACTATCTCTGCCTTGTCTCTTATTTGACATTGCTCACCAACTGGCTGCTGTCAGGCCAGAGAGCTCTGGGGAGTCCTCTGTCCCCACCCCCATCCTCACTGATAGGGTTACAGACTGGAAGGCCATGCCCACCTCTTACCTGGATTCTGGACAGCAGAATTAAATGCATGAGCGGCAGGCACTCAGGTCGTGAGCTCGCTCCTCAGCCCCACAGCCCTCTTTTTAAATACCAACATTCAAAAGTGTAAGCCGAAGAGGCTGACATATACAATGTCATATTGCAAAGTCTAGATAAAGGAAAAAGTTGGGGCTGATGCTCCATCTTAGAGTTCAAGGGCAAAGAGTTAAAGGAAGAAGCCACCAGGTAAGAGAGAGTCCCAGAGGCAAGGCATGAAACGTAAACCACATGGAGCAGCTTCGATTGGTCCCTGCTAGTCTTTTTCTGTGTTTACCCAATGCCCTATACCCAGTCTTGTTTGGCCCTCGGCCTGGCCCATTGCTTCAATGCAGCCAGGTCTAAAAAGATGAAAAAAAAATCTGCCTAAAAAAACGATGACAGAACTCGGGTTAATTCGAGGATTGGCCGTTTGGCTGAAGGTGGCTGCAGTTCCTTCCAGAGTCTGGGCTCCCTTATTCCCTGGACACCGACAGTCAGATTGCAGAGCTGGGGTAGAGGTGAGAGTGTCAGATCATTTGCTTTGGGGGTTAGAGCAAAAAACGTGCCTTGATGTTGCAAGAGCTCTGATTTACTTTATTTGTGGCTCCCGGAAAGGTGGGGCTCAACCCTCCGAAGCCACCCCTTGGGGCTGTCCCCTTGGTAAGGAATAAAGCCAACGTTTGCACACAGTAGACCGCTGAGTCACACCCTTAACCCTCTTCTTCCTTTTTCTTGTCTTCCTTCTCTACACTCCTCACCTGTCTTGGGTTCTTCCCAGTCCTCCTGGTTCTTACTAATCCATTCTTGTCCTGGCTTCCCCCTTGGATTTTGACTTGTTTCCTAGTTCTAGGTTATAGTCTGTGGAATGAAGAGTTTTTAGGTGTCTAGGTTTTTACCCTTGGGCCGTGGAACCCATGGTAGATGGAACTGTCCCGTCCCACTCAGGAAGCAAGGAGACCCTGCTCATACTGCAGTGTGTTGGCTGATTCTCATTCTGGAGTCCAGCAGGCATGGCAGGTGCAGAGATGTGCGGTGACACACCACGCTTAGGGGCAACTCTCTCCTCTTCCCAATCCCTGTGTGCAAGCCCCCCCTTCCAGACCCTCCCCCAGAACCGGGGCTCAGCCTCCCAGGGCCCCAGATTGGCCAGAGCAATGCTCCATTCTCAAGGGCGGGTGCGGGGATCCAGGAACCAGAGGGCGGGGCTAACTAATACATTCAGGTCCCTTGTAGTCTCTTACTCATTAGTATCACGGTAGAGTGAAAGCTGGATAGAAGGAAAGACTGGGACTAGCATCGGGTAGGAGGCCTAAGGAAGAGACTGACAGCTGCCCAGGAGGCCAAGCCTAGGTCTAGGCCTCACTGCTCAGTCTTTGCCTCCCAGGGCTGATCCTGACACTGCCTTGCCGCTGGGGCCTCAGGTTTCTGAGTTCCCACCCTTCCTGTTGCTCCTCCTAGCCTTGCCCTGCTGAGCCTCCCTCCCGCACTCCTCCTCGCTTTCACTCCTGCTGCCTCCCTGCTTGGAAAACCTCCCCCAGCTCTGGTCCAAGCCTTGGAACACGGTTTACTAACCCAGCTTTCTTGGTCGTAGAAACAACACGCTGATAAATTCATAGGGCTTCTCAGAATATACTGCAGTGAGAATGTGGACCCTGTTTGAACCTGTCTATTCAGCACAAAATTAGTACCCACCTCATGGAGTTGTGTGTAACATAACTTAACACAGAGTTAGCAAGCAGTTCATAGGAATAGCTCATGCAATATTTACTATATCCCGAGCATGCCGTTTGTCAATTTTTCATGCAACAGAAGTTGGAGTTTTAGGAAGAAAATGTATATGTTATTTCACAATCATTCTTACAATGCTGTAAGAGAAATACCACACCATTCCCTTCTTTTCAACTTATAGATGAGGAAACTGAGACACAATCATCTCCTAACCTGGGTCCTGAGGATTGAACATGGCAAGCAAGAACTCTACCAACAAGTTATATCCCCAGCCTCTTGACACAGAGTGTTGATGGGTTACCCAGGGTCCCAGAGATAGGAACCCACAGAACTGACAGCTTTTTCCCCCCGAGACAGGGTTTTTCTGTGTCCCTCTGGTTGTCCTGGAGCTAACCTCAAACTCAGAGATCACCTGCCTCTGCCTCCAGAGTGTTGAGATTGCGGATGCGTGCCACACTGCCTGGCATTTGATAGCTGGTTTTTAAAATTTCTCTAATGTGTGTGAGTGTATTGCTTGAATACACGTATATATACCACATGTGTGTCCAGTGCCATACGAGGTCAGAACGGGTTTCAGATCCTCTGAAACTAGAGTTTTGGATCATTGTGACCTGACTTGTGGATGCTAGAAGCTAAACCCAGCTCCTCCAGAGGAGTAGCAAGTGCCCTTAACCACCGAGCCATCTCTCTAGCCCCAGGATTCAGGATTTAGAGTTTTGACTTATGTATATGTCTGTGAACCTTCATGAGTGTATGTGCATTGTATAAATGCATGCGTCTCGGGAAGGCTGAAGGGTGTCAGATTCCCAGGAACTGGAATGACGGGTGGTGACAGATGGCCATATGGGTGCTGAACTAGGTCACCTGCAAGAGCAGTGGGTGCTCCTAACTACTGAGTCACCTTTCCAGCCCCAGTTATTTGGGTTTCGTTATTTTGTTATTTATTTTCTTTGTTTTGAGACAAGGTCTCACCCCGTAGCCTTGGCTCACCTAGGGCCCACTGTGTAAACCAGGCTGGCCTTGATCAGAGAGATCAACCTACTTCCGCCTGCCTGGGTTAAAGGCGTGGTCCATCGTACTTGGCTCTAGTTTTTAATAGTAGTACCTTAATACTTTCAGAGATCAGAAAATGTGTAAGATCCCACAGATTTCAAGAGACACTGCCTGTTTCTTCATGACCCCCTCCTCAAAATTAAGCCCCCCTTCCTTTAGGGAACTATCGTAGGAAAGAAAAGTAATTTTGCTTCTAAAGTCTAAAAGCTTTGAATTCCCTAGGCAGGATCATTCCTTCCAGGCTCTGAGCTCAGGCCACTCTGCTGTGTTCACCACTGAAAGCCTTGCTCGCCTCTCTGGACTGTGCGATGGCGTGGGTGGTGCCTGCTTTCCTGGGTGGAGCCGAGAGCACAGGGTGAGATGTTCTGAGATAAAGCACGCTGTGCACTAGAAGGACCTGTCTGTCCAAAGAGAGAGAAAAAAAGAGGGATTCTCCATCTGTAACCCTTTCCCATCTCAGCCCTCCTACTGGAAAGTCTTCCGCCGCCTGCCAGACCTCAAACTTGTTGTGGAAAAAAACCAGAGGCATTTATGGGGAACTGAAACCACCCTCCTCAGCAAAACGTCCCCCACACATTTGCTGCGGCACAAGGCTGCTACTCTGCAAGGAGCATTCAGCCTCAGGAGGCCCTTGAAGCTGCCTGACGCCACGGGGCGGTTCAGAGGCTGGTAAACAGCACATGGTATTCCAGCTCTGAGGCAAGCATTCATGCACAGAATTCTTTGTCCTCGTGAGGAGAGACAGAAAGCTGCTGTGTGCGGCAGAGCCCTAGGCCAGAGCCCCATTTTCAAAATCCCCAACCAGAGACCCTGCCAAGGCCAAGCATGCCACCAGCCTTTAGAACACACTTGAGAACTAAGCTTGCCCAAACATGGACTTCTGGCTTGAAAACTTAGATTTACTCGTTAATTCTGGAGGGGAAAACATGGCAAGATTACAAGGAAGAAGTCTGGCAAGCTCCTACTTAAATGGAGCTAGCACACTCATGTGCCTTCTGAAGGATGAGCTAAAACGCACCCAACCTTACTTCTGTGAGTGTCCTCCCCCCACCCCCCGAAATGCATCACCTGTTGTGATCATAAGGAACAGCTCTGGGCCAGTCAGGACTACGCAGTGAGACCCTGGGGGAGAAAGGGTGTTTGATGGTGAGAGGAAGGAGAAGGAAGAAGCAGCACCTTGAGCTGCATGCTTAGCTGAGTCTCCTGGGTTGCATTTCCTAACTTCACGGTTTAGGTGGCCCTCTGAAACGGGATGTGTGCATGAGCCTCGTGCAAGTCCTGCTGGGGGCTGCCACTTTGGTCCGGGAGGCAGGAGACTTGGATATATTTCAACACTGACACTTCTGCTCAAAAAAATTCAGACAATGTCCTGCCACAAGGCAAATCATTACTCAGTATTACAACCATACCTTTCTTTTCACCCGAAATGTCTCATCCACCTAACTCTCCAGCCTGCTTCCGAAGGGATCGTGGACTGTGGGAACTGGCCAGAACTGGAAGTTCTAATACCTTGTCCACATTACCAGGAAGTAGAGAGGCTCCCAATGGACCCTAGTGTACCCAACATGGGAGACTAACCCCAGTGATTCCCAGGCTAGTACTCTTTTGAGGATCTTGGGAACACTGCGATATCTTCCAGTCCCTTTGGAAACGAGAAAACTCTGTGTTCCCCCAAGGAAATTGTCTTTTCTTTTTCCTTTTTTAAACTTAACCCCCCTTCTTACATTGTGTGTGTGTGTGTGTGTGTGTGTGTGTGTGTGTGTGTGTGTGTCAGAGAACAACCTGCAGGAGTCAGTTCTCTCCTGTTACCATGTGAGTCCCAGGGATTAAACTCAGGTCGTCAGGCTCAGCAGCAACCGGTTACCAACTGAGCCATTTCACCAGTCCAAACTGCCCTTTTTTACTGTAGAGTTAACTCTGAATGCAATTACCACATCTGGGGATGTAGCACATTGGGCGGTGTCAGCCTAACCTACTGGAGGTTCATAGTGAGTTCAAGCCCCAGCACTGCCTACACCAGAGAGGCAGCCTACAGGGCTGTGATCCCAGCCGTCCAGAGGAAGGAGCAGGACCGAGGTTCCTCTCCAACCCTTTATGTCTCCTTTCCTGCGTCTCCTTCTGTGGTGATGGCCCTTGCAAGATGGAGACCCCCCCTCCCATTCTGTAGTCACTGCCTCCAGCCCGAGCCTGACGGAAAACTCCTGAGTGGTTCCTTAAGGTCGAGTGACGAGTTACTACCTACCCATCCTACCCAGGACTCCAAACTGTCCCAGCCAATTAGCTATCACCTAGAGGACATAAGAGCCTCATCATCTCCACTAGATGATCACTTCCATTGAGCCCACCCACTTTTCAGAGTTCCAAACATTCTGGATTTTTACACACATCATATGATTTGGTCAGTAGAGGAGGATTTTGAAAACACTGGCCTTGGACAGTGTCTAGCCATGTGCTCAAAAAGTATTTACTAAACAAGTGGACATTCCACACCACACTACTCTACACCTCCCCTTCCCCAAACTAAAAATAAATGAACTGGTGTACAATTGGACTGTTTGGGTAGTTCTGCCCAGGGAACCTTTCCCATATCCCAGTTGTTTCTTCCCAACAGTGTAGATGGGTAGACCCCACCTCTGTATGTGATAGCTCACCCTTGTAGCCCCAACATCCAAGATGCTGAGACAGGAAGTCTGCTCAGTGAGTTCCAGGACAGCCTCAGATACTTGGCTACAGTGTCTCAAAACACAAAATGCCTGTCTCAAAAATACAAAAAAGAAAGAAAGAAAGAAAGAAAGGAAGGAAGGAAGGAAGGAAGGAAGGAAGGAAGGAAGAAAGAAAGAAAGAAAGAAAGAAAGAAAGAAAGAAAGAAAGAAAGAAAGAATCCCTCTGCCTCCACTTCCGTGCACTGCGATTGCAGCTATGAACCAGGACGCTGGGTCTTAGGAGTTTCTGGGGACTGAACCCAGGCTCTCGTGCATAACAGCCACGCACTCTATGAACTGAATTACATCCTCAGCCCTGCCCCCACGCCCTTTTAAGGTCTTGCTCATGCTAAGGTAAGTATTCTGTAGTGAGTTATGATCACTAGACACTCTTGATTGCTCAGCAGTGATGCAGCCAGTCTCCCATGAGAATCAAAAAGCAAAGACTTCCTTCTGGTGCCTGTGCAGAGGCCATGCCTTGAAGCCACCAGCAAAACCAGCAATGCCACGGAGTGGATCAAGTCCAAATTGAGGGCTGTGTGTGTGGCCTCCCTTAGCCTCATTCCCTCAACACAGAATGCAAGAGCAGGCTATATCAGGGTTAATGAACGGTTTTATTTGCCTTGTACAGCATCAACTTTCTTACATTCTCAATTAATTTTCCATTAAAGTGCCAGACATTTCCTTAATCATGATGACATTTGTTAAAAGGAATCAGAACTTTTCTCAGAACATGGCAGTCACGAATGAACACTTTCTTACCAAACCCAGAATGGAAGCCCCTCACACTGACCTGGCAGCTTGACAATTTGCAGACAGATTTAAATCCCCCTCTCACCTTGAGCACCAAACTAGGCTGGGACTAACACACCTAGGGATTAAAAGTCATGCTACAGAGAATTGAGAAACACCCACCTCCTGGCTGCCACCTCCTCTGAGCCATACCAGGGTGTTGCTGTTTGTACACATCCAACCTTCAGAGAAATGATGACCTAGACCCCTCTGCCACCTTTTATCCCACCTTCCCTTACTCACAAAAGCCCCCAAAGTCATTACAATGAAAAGAAAGTGGGTTTCCATTACCCAGGTACTAACAATGTTCAGTAAAAATAAGGATAAACACAAAAGCTTGCTTAGTAAACACGAGCTCTCAGCGTTCAATGCAAAAAAAAAAAAAAAAAGAAGAAGAAGAAGAAGAAGAAACCAAAAAAACTAAAATCTTAACGCAAATACTGTTGACTTTGCACACGGGCCAGATGAACTTAGAACTCTTTACCTAGTTGCAGAGTCCCAGGAGCCTAGAGGCACTCTGTTTGTCAGTACTTGCCACTGGGGGAGGCAAGATCTTTGCATTATTGCTGAGGCTGTTGGGGTGTTTCTCTTTGGAGTTTATATACAAACACACCCAAGGCTGATGTATTTATATATATGTACACACATACAAGGCCCACTACTCTTTCTTTGTGGAAATTGAGAGTTCTACCTCAGGAAGCTGGATGCCAACCTTCGTCCCACTGTCGTTGCTAGAAGAGGAAGACAGTCGGGACTTCTTTGAGGCCAAAGACACTCCACTCCCCTGTAACTTGGCTGCCTCATCATCACTCCCAGTCACCTCATAATGACCTTTGCTCTTTGACCCCAACCCACCGAAGGTACCAAATTTCAGCTTCCCATGTTTGCTTTTAACTTCTCCACCTGCATACTCCAAAGTCCCGGTTGGGGTGGAAGGCGCCGAGAACTCCCTCTCATCGCTGAAGGAGTTGGAGCGGTGTCTTGGCTTCTTACTTTTAAACAGCGAGAATTTGCCTTTTGGTGACGATGCTTCGGCATCTGCTTCTCCTTCCAGAGAGCCTAAGCTGGCCTTTGAGCTCTTCAGGTCCCCTTTGGACCCAGAAATGGATGCTTCTGGTGAGCCGGTGGCACCACCTTTCCCTTTAGGTTTGGAAAAGTTAAACTTGGGCATTTTGATTTTGGATTTTTTAAGTTTTACTTCTGACTCTTCCCATTCATCTTCTCCTGCACCAGCCTGCACATTGGCTTCTACTTTAGGGAAGTTGACATCCACCCCTACTTCTCTGCCAACAAGCTCGCGGCCAGAGAAGGCAAATTTGGGGATCTTCATCTTGGGGAATGTTACTTTTCCAGATCCACTTTCCAAGTGACCTTGAGGCCCAGACACACTCAGCCCTGGACCCTGGAGTCCAGTCTGGCCACCTTCTGTCTTTGGTCCTGAGAAATGAAGGTTCCCCGCAAGTTTAGATGTATCCAGGTTTAGAGAGGAGGAGACTTGGGGTCCCTTCCACTCAACCCCAGAGTCTTTGACACTCATATGCCCTTCACCCAGGTTGATATCTGGGACACTGACACCCCCTGAAACATCTACACCTCCTTTGACTTTGGGGCCCTTCAAGCTGACACCAAAATCTGACTCTGGAGATGCCATGTTAAAGGAAGGCCCCTTGACACTGATATCAGGGACAGCCCCATGGAGACCTATTCCTGAACCTTTCAGATCTCCTTTAATTTCAGGACCAGAAAGCTGCCCCGCTGGAAGTTGCACATTGCACCCAGAAGCCTTAATTCCAGGCATTTGGAGATTTCCTTCTAGGCCCTGAACACTGATGCCTGGAAGGCTTCCCCCAACTGCTGGGCCTTTCAGTTCTCCAGTGGCCCCAAGGCTCCCCTTCACTTTTGGTCCTTCCAAGTTAAAGTCCATGTTTGGTGCTGAGATCTGGGGCCCCTTCAGGTTCACATCCATCCCTGGCCCCTTCAGTTCTCCACAAACTTGAGGCCCCTTGATGTTAACGTCCAAGTCAGACCCTGGAGCAGAGATGCCAAACTGAGGCAGCTTCATGTGGGGAAATTTGACGCTACCTTCTGAGGCCTCCAAGCTGAGATCGGGGGCACCCGCAGATAGTTTAGGGCACTTGATGTCCCCAGACATGGTCAGGTCTCCCTGTAGGCTTGGTCCCTTCAGGGTCACATCAGGGGCCCCCACATTAAGGGCTGCTGTGACATCAATCCCCGGGACTTTCACACCATCTCCTCCTATCTGTACTTTTCCACCAACACCTTTGAGGTCAAGACCTGGGGCGTGCAGCTTCATGCTGGGACTGGATGCATCCAGGTCTCCCTTCAGACTTGGTCCTTTCAAGTTCAGGTCAACATCAGGCCCAGAAATTTTTGGCATAGAGAGGTCCACCGAAGGCAAGTCCACTCCTGGGCCTTTAAGAGATATATCGGGCCCTTCAAACTTAACATCTGATGTGCTCAAGCTTCCTTCAAGACCAGGGGCACTGATCTTGGGCAGTGAAAACTTGGGGAACTTGATTTTTCCTTCTGGACCTTGCAAATCGACATCAGGTCCTTCCAGACCCACACTGGGGGCATCACCCTTTATCTTTGGTCCTGTCAACTTGACATTCATATCAGGTATGGAGACTTGAGGAGCAGACACACTGAATGAGGGTGCTTTGATTTTGGCATCAGAGCCTTCGATGTTGATGTTAGGTGTCTCCAAGTTTGCCTGCACCTTAGGACCTTTCAAGTTGCCCTCTAACTTTGGCCCTGAGACATCCACACCTGGCACCTTGAACTTGGGAGCCTTCACATGGATGTCAGGAGCTTCCACAGTAACCCCTGGTGAAGAAATGTCCAGATCTGGTACCTTGATGTCACCCTCCAACTTAGGGCTGGGTAGGGAAGCCTCTGCTTTAAATTTAGGTGACTTGATGTCAAATTCTACATCTGGGAAGTACATTTTCCCAAACATGGTTTTCTTGGCTTTTGGAGACTTTACATCAACTTTGAGCGCAGCATCAGGCCCTGCAACACCGATATCCACATCAGGACCCTTCAGACTGGCATCAATCTCACCTCCGGGAACGTTCAAATCAAATCCCTGCTTTTTGGCCTTAACTTTAGGGCCACTCATGTGAATTTTAGGCATTTTAAACTTGCTTTTCTTGCCCTTTCCACCAAGGCTTACGTCAGGGGTCTCAACACTCAGCTCTGCTTCAGGGACAGTCACATCAACTGAGGGTGTCTTGATGTCAACTTTAGCGCTTTTTGCACCAAATCCAAACTTGGGTTTCTTAAACTTTGGAACTTTAACATCTGGACCCTCGATATTAATATCTGGGCTCTCCATGCGGACGTCTAAACTTGGAGTTTCTAAATCAACTTTGGGTCCCTTAAGGTCCACTTCACCACCTCCTAACTTAGGCCCAGAAACACCAATTTTTGGTGTCTTGAGGTGCACATTAACATCAGGTCCAGTTATTTTAGGAGCAGATACATCCAGTGATGGCATCTTCAAGTTAGGGCCACTGAGTTTAGCATCAGGGCCTTCAAAATCTAGACTTGGACCTTTCAGGTCTACTTCAGGTCCTTTGAGACTACCTTCAATCTTGGGAACAGACACATCAAAGTCTCCTTTTACTTTAGGTCCTTTTAACTCCAGATCCACATCAGGCATAGATATCTTTGGAGCCTTGATGCTAATCTCCGGCATCTTGAATTTAGGACCCTTCAATTTTGCATCAGGACCTTCAATATTTACATCTGGAACATCAATGTCCACCTTAGGTCCTGAGACATCAATGTCAGCCTTTGGCAGGTTCACATCCACGTCAGGGCCCTCTCCCTTGAAGCCAGGCATGCTGAACTTGGGCATTTTCACCTTGGGCATCTTCAGGTGCCAGTCTGGACCATGAACGTCCACATCTGGAGCACTGATGTCCACTTTGGGACCTTTGATGTCAACTTCAGGGCCTTTGAGGTCTCCTTCCACTTTGGGCAGAGAAACATCTACATCACCCTTCACCTTCGGCCCTTTCAGGTTCAAGTCAACTTCTGGCATTGAGATTTTGGGTGCCTTGAGGTGGAGATCAGGCATTTTAAACTTGGGGCCCTTCAGCTTCCCTTCTGGACCGTGAATGTCAATGTCAGGAGTGTCGATGTCCAGTTTAGGGCCTTTGACATCCAGTTTGGGACCTTTCAAATCCCCTTCTATGTCCAAATCTCCCCTTATTTTAGGTCCTTTCATGTTCAAATCAATGTCACTCATTGAAATTTGAGGGGTCTTAAAATGGACATCTGGCATCTTAAATTTGGGACCTTTGAGCTTTCCTTCAGGACCCTCAATGTCTATCTCCGGCCCTTTGAGATCACCTTCCATCTTAGGTAGTGCAAGGTCCACATCTCCTTTTACCTTGGGTCCCTTAAGGTTTAAGTCAAAGTCAGGCATGGAAATCTTGGGAGCTTTGATGTGCATATCTGGTATTTTAAATTTGGGTCCCTTTAATTTCCCTTCTGGGCCATCAATATTGATGTCAGGAGTATCAATATCCACACTGGGACCCTTTATATCAATAGCAGGACCTTTTAGTTCACCTTCCATTTTAGGCAAGGAAGCATCCACATCTCCCTTCAGTTTAGGCCCTTTCAAGTGCAAATCAATGTCAGGCATGGAGATCTTGGGAGCTTTAATGTTCATCTCTGGCATCTTGAACTTAGGACCCTTCAGTTTTGCATCAGGACCTTCTATATTCACATCTGGAACATCAATGTCCACCTTGGGTCCTGAGACATCCATGTCAGCCTTTGGCAGGTTCACATCCACTTCAGGGCCTTCTCCCTTGAAGCCAGGCATGCTGAACTTGGGCATTTTCACCTTGGGCATCTTCAGGTGCCAGTCTGGACCATGAACGTCCACATCTGGAACATTGATGTCCATTTTAGGGCCTTTGATGTCAACTTCAGGAACTTTAATCTCTCCTTCCACTTTGGGCAGAGAAACATCTACATCACTCTTTACCTTTGGCCCTTTCAGGTTCAAGTCAACTTCTGGCATTGAGATCTTGGGTGCCTTGAGGTGGAGATCAGGCATTTTGAACTTGGGGCCCTTCAGCTTCCCTTCTGGACCATGAATGTCAATGTCAGGAGTATCGATGTCTACCTTGGCTCCTGAGACATCAATGTCAGCTTTAGGAAGGCTCACATCTACTTCAGGACCTTCTCCCTTGAAGCCAGGCATGCTGAACTTGGGCATTTTCACCTTGGGCATCTTCAGGTGCCAGTCTGGACCATGAACATCAACATCTGGAGCATTAATGTCCATTTTGGGGCCTTTGATGTCAACTTCAGGGCCCTTGAGGTCACCTTCTACTTTGGGCAGGGAAACATCCACATCTCCCTTCAGTTTGGGACCCTTGAGATGCAAATCAGGCATGGAGATCTTGGGAGCCTTGATGTTCATCTCTGGCATCTTGAACTTAGGACCCTTCAGTTTTGCATCAGGACCTTCTATATTCACATCTGGAACATCAATGTCCACCTTGGGTCCTGAGACATCAATGTCAGCCTTTGGCAGGTTCACATC